AGGCCCAGGCCAGGCTCAAACCCGCCAGCCTTAGTGTAGCCCTACTCACTGAGCTATGGGTGCCAAGCCCTGACAGCACCATTTCTCATATATAGTTCACCCTAAATTCACCTTGTAATTGGAAAGCACATTTGTGTTTGCAAATTGATGATATTCAGAAGAAGAAAGGAAGTTTATGTCTACAGGATGGAAGACTTGGAACCAGGTGCCTTCTAAAGGCAGGTCCTACACCACATCAGAAACTTTGGTAAAGGTTGCTATCTTTTCAACTATTTATAATTCAAAATCATAACACCTGGGTCCTAGAGAAACATAGTCCTGAATTTAAAAAAAGACAGAAGTCTATTTATCTGGTAAGATTATTTACATAAATTTCAAAGGGGCAGAGAAAACATTTACACACAAAATATTCTAAATTAAAATCATTAAGCAAAAGGAGAGAGTAAAATCTTTCTCTTCATATTCAACTTGGAGTATTCAGTCTGGTATTTCTATTTTATATTTATTCTTGCAACAGACAGGTGTAGGGTCACTTTTTGGAACTCATGGCATAATTCCAGGAGCCAAGAGTTAAGTTACCAAAGAAGTAACCTAAGCCACACTGTGTACCCAAAAGAGGATTTATGACGAAGAAAATAATCAGAAGACGGGTGCTAACATGGACCCATGGGTGGACAAACTGTAGAGCTTGTGGAAATATTGGGTGAGGCTGTAAAAGAAACTAAGAATCTAAGGAACAATTCCTTATGCAAAAGCAAAGGTGAAGCCCAGAGGCTGAGTCATTCAAGACCCATTTCCAAATGAATAGTTACTAACAATAGGTATCATCCAGACCCTCATGGAAAGGTAAAAGTTCTCAGGATTCTAAAAGCACTCTCATCAAAGATCATTGACAAAGGCATTCCTTGCTGGGGTCCCAAAAATGTATCTCTGTGTCCGCAGGCTAAGTCTAGCTCCTAATACTAAAATCTGCTTCATTACATACTAATAATGTTTACCACAACTTTATAGAAGTTGAGACAGGTATAGAAGAAAGATAAGATCAATTCCTCTTCTACATACCCACAGACATCTACTCAATCGATTCTTCCTTCACTCTCTTTTTCTGTTCAGACATTCACATAATCCTATGCAAAATGTAAGTTTTCTAAGCTTCAAAAGAAGGTAACCATTTTACCTCAGTCCCCATGGCTCTAGTACTTTTTCCTTCTGTATGCCTTGTCCTGTTTAAGTACCAAAGTTCCCAAATGCCCCTTCTGAACAATCAAAGATACATTTGTTATTTGTGGGTTTTTTCTTTCCCCAGGAATGTCTACAAACTTTGTCCTAATAAACTTCCACTGATTTATATGTATCTTTGCTTCAGTCACTTGGTTTGGAGTGCCAGTGCTAGACATAACAGCCCAGGCTGGGGTATGCTCACGCTTATTTCTGTTCCACGGAGACAGATGAAATTATCATTGGGTGAAACAAAAGCCTGGGTAATGAATGGCCGAGTTGTTTCTACACATACAGGATCTTGGGTGGGGAGAAACCAGAAGTCTTCTGGGCACTGGTGTGGGGTTTTGGTGGGACACTGTAAGAGTAAAGGAGCTGCGAGCTTGATTCCAGGTGGTGGAGCATTGCCTGGATGGGCTGTGACTACATCACTGTCTAGTGTGCCTGTGCATAAAATGTTGGGTATCACATGGTGGCAGCAGAATGTGGAGAAGAAATCTGACCTCAGAGCTTCTGCCCTCCAACACCTCAGTCCCCTCTCATCCCAGGAGGTGATGTGGAATCACTGCACAGTTTGTGCTGTGACAGCATATGTGCAGAACACATCCTCCCTTTCTGGGATGGTCAGAATCTCCCTCTAGCCCAGGCGTCTACCATGTTTTTCTTTTACAACAGTTCTCATACCAAATCCATGCAGTTTACAGAACAATATTCCACCAATATTCCATTACAAACTCCATCTGCAAAATTTAATTTTGACACCACCCAGAGTTAACAGTGATCTCACAAGTTCAAGGCTCAGCCCCACCACACTGCTCTCATTACAGATGCCAGGGCAGCCCCGCAGGCCCTTGATGATTTTGAGCAACTGCCTATAAAGCAGAAGCTCAAATAAATCCCTCCACAAATATAATCATTTAATACACCTACTCACTCAGCAAACGACATTACTTATATTCAGCAATTTCATATAAAGTAGACCAACGTCATGTATAGGGCAAGGGAAAGTGGTGCGAAATGAAAGGGCGTGTAACTCATCCTGGTCAGTAGATGTGATTAAAGAAATCCCCCACCCTCTGTGTTTTCAAGAGCAACACACTGCAAGAAACAACCCTTCCCATTGTGATTTAGGTGATACTCCTTGTTTCTCCTATGACAAGGGCAGGCACAGGCTCTGCAAATTCCCATTTATTGCTCATAAACAATCAGCTGAACAGTTCTTTCTTTAGGAGTCACAACAAAATGCGTCTTCATGAAATATTTCTAAAGTTTCTTTCTCCCGGGATCCTGAACTTTGGCCAATTCTGACTTCAACATCTTACCCCTGTTTAAGAACAGGCTGACTTTAGGTGAAACATTTTCTGATATAGCAGATCAGTTTTCCACCCTCCATTCTGCCCTCGTTTCCCACTTTTTTTTCAAAACTTGTTTGTGCCTCCCTATGAAAGAAAGCCCTCGTTTGTGATGCTTAGAGGTATTATACTTGGTGTTTTTAGAAAGCAATATTTCCTTACAATAAAGAAGAGCCTACGAAACCCAACCTTTGCCCAGAGAAGTCTGAGCACCAAGGGGTGCCAGTGACAAACTCTGGTCTTTAGAGTCCCCAAGTAAAGCGAAACAGCGCGGTTCCGCCACAGCCCCTTCCCTCTCCAACCAGAGCCCTCCCCTTCTCATTACACCCGATCCCATATACTCACCATTTCTCAGCTTCCGGGATGTCCCGGTGTCCTCTCTACAAATATCCCAGTACCTGCAAGTCACAGAAGGGCAGAGGCTGCAGCAGAGACACCTAGGTCCTCCTGAAAATAGAACAGTGAAGAAGGAACTCAGCACACGCCCCAGCACAGGAAACCAAAGCCACTCCGGTTCCGGAAGCTGCCTCCTCCTTTCTGGCTGTGCATTTTGGTTGGACGGTTTCTACTGGAGCATCCCTGATTGGATAGGGCCTCAGGCCCCACCCTCTGATCCTGATTGACAGGGAATACGACCAGACAAGAGGCTGAATGAGGCCAGGCTGCTAACAGTGTCTAGGCTGGAGCTCTGCATACCCGCTCTGGGACTCTGTACTCCCTGGGCATGTATTTAACACGGAATATAAATTATATCCTTTCCATACATTTTATTTTTGTGTACTCTCATACGCGCGCATACACACGCTGCAAATTTGTTTTCCACAAATGGAAACAGCATATTAACAATTATTTTAAAGGTTTTTTTTTTTTTAGTTTTCTTGTAATCTTGTCTTTTCAGAAGGCAAGTTAAGCTTTGAAAAGGGATGCAGTCTTCTAAGAAAGCAATGTCCAACAGAGATAAAATGTGAACCACCTGTGTCATTTCAAATTTCAAAGTAGCCATAAAAAAAAAATAAGTGGGTAAAATTAATTGTAATTTTTTTTCAGACATTGCCTCACTATGTCTCCCTGGGTACTATGCTATGGCGTCACAGCTCACAAAAATCTCAGACCCCTGGGCTTAAACGAGTCTCTTGCCTCAGCCTCCCTAGTAGCTGGGGACTATAGGCACCTGCCACAATGCCCGCTAACTTTTTGTTGTGGTTGTCATTGTTGTTTAGCTGGTCCCAGCCTGGTTAAAACCTCCAGCTGCGGTGTATGTGGCTGGTGCCCTATCCACTGAGCTACAGCCACCAACCTATGTAATTACTTATTTAATCCAATCTATCAAAATACTACTGTTTTGGTATTTGATGAATAAAAATATATTATTGAATTACTTTTTTGGTTATGTGTTTTGAGGAATTGATGGCCAATGTACTCTTTTTTTTTTTTTTTTTTTTTTTGAGATAGAGCCTCAAGCTGTCTCCCTGAGTGTTATGGCATCTCAGCTCACAGCAACCTCCAACTTCCTGGGCTCAAGCGAGTCTCCTGCCTCAGCCTCCCAAGTAGCTGGGACCACAGGAGCCCGCCACAACGCCTGGCTATTTTTGTTGTTGTTGTTGCAGTCGTCATTGTTGTTTGGCAGGCCAGGCTGGATTCGAACCCGCCACCTTGGGTGTATGTGGCTGGCGCCTTAGTCACTTGAGCCACAGGCGCCGAGCAGCCAATGTACTCTTAACCACGTAACAAATAACTCTTAGCTTGATGAAAAAGAGAAGAAAATATCTAATAGAGGACTGGAAAGAAACTAAATTTCATTTAAAGGAGAAATGACGTTTCATTTCATTTACAGGAGAATGTGCAAACAATGTTTAGTAACTATTTTGACAAGGCATCAAGCCTTCAGGTGCTAGTGGCAAATCCTGCTACACCAAATTCCTGGAACTGTGGGAATGAAACTGTGTAATTTGGTCACTTTGGGTAAGCTGGTCTACCCATGACTATGTTTTTTGTTGTTTGTTTTTTGGTTTTTTGAGACAGAGTCTCACTATGTTACCCTCAGTATAGTGCTGTGGCATCACAGCTCACAGCAACCTCCAACTCTTGGGCTTAAGCAATTTTCTTGCCTCAGCATCCAAAGTAGCTGGGACTACAGGCTCCTGCCACAACGCCAAGCTATTGTTTGGTTGTAGTTGTCATTGTTGTTTGGCAAGCCTGGGCCGGGTTCAAACCCACCAGCTCTAGTGTATGTGGCTGGCACACTACCCTCTGAGTGACAGGCGTCGAGCCACATATGCCTATGTATTAATAACCAAGGTTTTCCCTTGTCAAAAGATGTAGCGTTATGATCACTCTCTCTTTATCTCCTACTGCTGAGATACTTTTTTAACTTATTATAATTACAAACATGTTCTCGCTTTTCTATCTTTTTCTCTTCTTGTTTTTTGTTTTGTTTTATCTTTTTTGAGATAGAATCTCACTGTGTCACTCTGGATAGAGTGCCAAGGCATCATGATAGCTTTCATACATTTTAACACTGTCTGCAACGTCTTTCCTCATCAACATTCCTAATAGGTTCCAATTTCTGTATATTCCTAACAAACACTTTTAGTGTTCATTGTATGATGTAATAGTTCATTGTGATTTTTCTTGGCATTTCTCTATAATTAGTACTTTAAGCATTGCTTCAAATGACCATTGGCCATTTATATACTTCTTTGAAAAATGTCAGTGTACTTTTTGTCAATTTTTAAATAAAGATATTTGGGTTTTGCTGTTGTGTTTTGGGAGTTGTCTATATATGTGTAGTATTTATACACCTATATATTCTGAGTATTAACTCCTATCACACATCTAATTTACAAATATTTCCAGCCATTTCTAAGGTAGCATTTTTACTCTAATGTTTTCTTGGATGGGTGAGGATGCTGAAATTTGGTTGCAGTTGTCATTGTTGGTTAGCTGGCCCGGCTGGGTTTGAACCCACCAACTTCATATGTGGCTGGCACTGTAACTAACCACTGTGCTATGGGCACCGAGCATAAATCTGTGTCTTCTAAAATTATGGCTATGAGTTCAAGAACATGGCCCTAGACCTGTCTTTAGTAAGAGAAAATACAAATTAGAAATACCAGAATGGGGGATAGCACTTGTGCCTGAAAGGAGTAGGACGCCAGCCCCATATCTGGAGGTGGCCGGTTCAAACCAGGCCCCGGCCCAAAACTGCAAAAAAAAAGAAATACCAGAATGAACACTCCAATTTGGATATAAAGAAAGAGATTTTGCTCTTTTTTTCCTTTAAAGATTTTAATTTAGGAAATTTTGTGTGTAAGGCCAAGTGGCTTGCCTCTCACCTATAATCCTAGTACTCTAGGAGGCCAAAGTGGGTGATTTGCTGGAGCTCAGCAGTTTGAGACTGGCATGAGCGAACAAAACCATTTCTCTACTAAAAACAATTTATACAACTAGCTGGGTGTTATGGCAGACATCTATGTTTCTAGCTACTTGGGAGCTTGAGGCAAAAAGAATTCTTGTGCCCAGAGTAGGGTGCTGACCCCATATACCAGAGGTGGCAGGTTCATACCCAGCCCAGGCCAAAAACTGAAAAAAAAAAAGAACTCTTGTGCCCAAGAGTTTGAGGTTTTCGTGAGCTTCTACCCAGCATGACACAGTGAGACTCTGTCTCCAAAAGAAAAAAATGTGTAAATTGTATCTCTGCCTTCTTGAAATATGCGTACATAATTTTATCAGATAAATATGCTTTATGCCCTTTTTTTTGAAACCCAGGTCTGTCTTTCTCTAGGACCAAGGAAACTTTCCTTTAGAATATACATAGTTGGGGCAGCACCTGTGGCTCAAAAGGGTAGGGCACCAGCCCCATATGCCGGAGGTGGTGGGTTCAAACCCAGCCCCGCCCCCCCACACGCCAAAAAAAGAATATACATAATTAGGCCAGGAGTAGTGGCTCATGCCTATAATCCTAACCTTCTAGGAGGCCAAAATGGAAGGCTTGCTGGAGATCAGGAGTAGAGACCAGCCTGAACAAAAGTGAGACCTTGTATACTTACCTGGCAGGGGAGATACCATGATCACAAAGGTGGTTTTTCCAGGGCAAGGCTTATCCATTCACTGTAATTTCTCCAAATGTGGGAAACTTGACTGCATAATTTGTGGTAGTGGGGAACTGCGTTTGTTATTTCCCCTGGAAAAAAAAGAGAAAAAGTGAGACCTTGTCTCTACTAAAAATAGAAAAATTATCTAGGCATTGTGGTGGTTGCCTGTAGCCTCAGCTACTTGGGAGGCTGATGCAGGAGGATTGCTTGAGGTAGCTGTGAGTTAGGCTAATACTATGGCACTCTATCCTGGGCAACAGAATGAGATTGTCAAAAAAATTTTTTTTTCTTTAGCATCATATCCAAGTTATGTGAGTGAAGTGGTGATATTAGCACTTTGTTCAGAAATTCCTAGAATAACACAAATAGATGTTGTCTGTTGTGTGCTTTATAGCTCTTATTCTATGAAAGTTTCAAATAAGATTCTGCAGAAAGTATAGTCAGTAATTTTAGCAGAATACTAAAAATCTCCACAAATGTAAGAAAATCTATTGTTATTTAACTTCAAAATTTTGCTTTTATATGAATGCACCTGGAACTTCACCTCCCCTTTCTGCTAGTGTGCATCTGGACAGCACGCTTCTCGCAGAACTGAGTTTTCACCTCCCCTTTCTGCCAGTGTGCATCCAGACTGTGGCATATAAGATGGAACAGTGGCAGTCTGCTCATCTCACTAACATGCACATAGGCTTACTTTATCTTCCCTTCTCCTCTCTGCTAGTGACCACTAAGACAGCACGCCGCTCACAGAGCACCCGAGTTCTCAACCCTCATTTCTGCTAGTGTGCATTCAGACAGCACTCTTCTCCCATAGCCCCGGAGTCCTCAGCTCTTCTTTCCGGAACTGTGCATCCAGTCCATACTTTTCCCAGAGCACCTAAGCCCTCATCTCCCATCTCTGCTAGTGTGCTTCCAGACCCCACTCCTCTTCCAGAACACCAGAGTCTTCACCTCCCCTTTCAACAAGTGTCCATCCAGAAAGCACTCCTCTCCCTGAGCACCCGAGTCTTCAACTCTCCTCTCTGCTAATGTGCATCTAAAACATATTCTTCTGTTCATTTCTCCTATCTGCTAGTGTGCATGCAGACAGCATTCTTGTCCCAATGCACGTGAGTCCTCACTTCTCCTTTCTGCCAGTTTGCATGAATAGAGCTTTCCTCCCTCCATCGCACCCAAGTCCTCACCTGCACTGGGAGAGCAGTGCTGCCTGGATGCACACAGCAGAAAGGACAAGTGAGGAATCGGGTGCAATAGGAGAGGAGTTCTGTCTGGATGCACTCTGGCAGAAAGGGGAAGTAAGGACTCAGGTGTTCTGGGAGAAGTGTGCTGTCTAGATGCACAGTTGCAGAAAGGACTCACACCAGAGTCCTCAACTCTCCTTGCTGCTAGTG